TCAAAGAGTTGCATTGCTGTGTATTTCTGGCTAACGCTGATTTGGAAAAATGCAGATACATGTTGCACTATGTCCTCACATATGAACCTTGTGGTGGTTTTATGATTGCCACGGGTCTTTCTCTGGCTTTCATGCTCGTTACGTTAATTGGCATTGGTGAGTTATTTCAAACAAAAATCTCCACACAACCTTCTCTTACAGTTACCGAAAGATACTGATGATGTACCTTAAATGAAATTTGATAGCGAGGGTATACTTGGGCATGCACAGCTTGACCGATGTTATCGCTGGGATCTCGTTTGGCATCGTGATCCTTGCGTTCTGGTTGGTTGTCCATGATCATGTTGATGCCTTTGTCGTCTCTGGCCAAAACGGTATGACCATATGGCTGAACATCACTTTGACTCCAGCGATAAAAAATTGTGATATTCAAAGGTGAAGAATATTCTCATAGTTGTTTTGTTCTGCAGTTACATTCTTCTGGGCAAGCCTTTCTCTAGTACTCTGCTTTGCATATCCAAGGCCAGAGTTCCCAACTCCTAGCTTTGAGTTCCACACAGCATTCAACGGGGTCGCTTTCGGAATTGTAAGAACTCTGACCACTCTGTGTATGACATATGGTTACTTAATCCAAAGATTGTATTGCTTGTAATATTGTGTTAGAATTCTGCTCACATGAAGGATGTTATTGCTCCTTATCTTGTACTCTTACTGATTCTCAGCGGGATTTGCTTGACCTTGTAATAACACCTCTAGTTATATTTTAATTTGTGATGAAAATTCAGGTACCATTCAACAGAGAATAGTCTTGACAATTGAGTGTATATAGTTCACCCAAAAAGAATTCTTGGAATTAAATCTAGCTCTAGTTTCTCCTATCCTTTGCCCCTCCAGTTGTTGATAAATCATGTTTACCCTTATCTGACAATGTTCTCTACCCTTACCGATTCAGGTCTACGGCGTCCAGCAGACGTACACCCGCTTCCATGGCCCGGAAGCCCCCCTCATTCTCAGCCATCAACTACCCCTCCTCGCGTATGCCGGGAGGGTCCTGGTGGGCATCCCGACCATCCTGGCCGTGAAGTTGTGCAGCAAGGCGCTCTCGAAATGGCTCCTGCCGGTGATGTGCAGCACCCTGGGGATCCCGATTTTGTCGTCCTGCTACGTGCCCGCGCTGAAGCCATCCGACATTGGCGGTGGCTCGGGCAACAAGGACGAGGCCAAGCAGGCCGGTGGGTACCTCCAGAGAGTGTTCTCCCTCTTCCCGCAGAAGGCGTACGACGTGGACACGGGCATCCGGTTCGTGCAGTACGCGGGGCTCGCGTGGTCGGTGGTCGACCTGGTGCCGGTGATCTTCACGCATCTGAACCTGTGAAGTCGATCGAATTAGCGAATCTAAGGCTAGCGGCATTTCGTTAATTTCTTCGGAGGACGGCGGATGATCCCTCCTCCATGTCTCGCAGGCTGTTGATCCATTGATCTCGGCCTCATTTTTGTGTTGTATGTTTGTCTGTCTAGCACGTCCTCTACCGGGGTGTTTTCTTCCTGTACAGTTGTCCAAAGTAGCAACGAGGAAAGTATACACGTGATGACCTTGTGTTTTGTTTGATGGGAACAGCTACTGACTGCCATGTGCGCCATTAGTGCTTAACTGAATCCTCAGTCGACATATATAACTGCAGAAAAGATAGTATGCTTCCTTACCGCCTCTCATTCCTATATATGGCTGGGTTTGTTAGTCCCTGGACTAGGTCATTTTGGAGACTGAGCCTCATGGAGGGCCTTTATGTTGAAAATTTCGAATTTCAAAATTCTTTATTTCTAAATATTCTGAACAAACACACATGTATGCAAGGATGTAATGTGTATGTGTGACGAATTTCAGGATGAAATACCTTGAATTGCGAGCTGCACAAAAAAAATCATGGCCTCATATTTGTCTTTTTTGTGTAGCTCTCATTTTAACGTATTTCGACCTGAAAATTTGCACACATGTACTACATTATGTATCTAGGTATATGCACATTTCTTTCAGAATTTTTTGAAACTGAAAAGTTTGAAGTTTGAAGTTTTTAAATTAAGGCCTCCATGAAGCTCGGTCTCCGTTTGGCATTTTCGCTGTATTTTGGATCAAACTTTGACCATTGGTTATATACCACGAAAACCATGGTGTTGGTTTTTTTTTAATTATTATTCTAAATGAGTTCCTCGTGGTAACACTGTCGTTACATGTAACTCCTATTCCCTCTGTCCGGAGTACATCCATTCCTCCGACAAGTATTTTCGGACGGAGGAAGTATTTGTTAGTCTGTTTTATGATCCAAGATACCAACGGCGGAGCTACG